AAAAAAAAAAAAAAAAAAAAAAAAAAAAAAAAAAAAAAAAATCTACAAAAAAACCTTCTTCCTCATATCTAGTCTTAATCTCCCCTGCTTTAATTTGAAGCCATTTCCCCTTGTTCTGTCACTGCCATGCCCAAAGCCTTACTGAAGTCCAGGTAGATAACATTGTATGGTGTATGGTTTTTTGTAATCCATTTCACGTGATTCAAAGACAATATGAACGTGAGGGGATCAGTGAAGGGATTTTCAGAAGTGTCTCTGAAAATAAGCAGCATGCTTCACTGAGGTTACATTCCACATGTTGCTGAACACCTTGGGGCTTGGTACAGTACACACAGCAACACAATGAGATAATTCGTGTCAGTGAAAAGTAGCTAAAGCTAAGCTGCTTTCAATATCTGAGCTAGTTCATCTACTTCTGACTGTGGAGGTCTCTGTGTTGTGCTCCACTGCAGAGAAATACCCTGCACGCTTTTAATATCTCACCTGTAGCCAGTGGAATCGGAGGTGTCAGCAAAGTTTTTATTTTGTCCATGTGATCTTGAATTCTGATGATAGAGCATGAGAACAGGAATCTAATTACATTTCTTGGAAGTTTTGCAGCTACACAAAACATTTTTTTTTACTTACAAAATATATTTGATCAAAAATCATTGGTACCCAATAAACAAGAAACTGCAATATCGTTTTATAGTCACTTTTCAGTGCATAACAGTTAATCTAAGTCTATAGTTATGTTGGTACTGTATAATATAAAATGTGTTTTATTCACTTTACTGAAAGATAGGGGTAGGGTTATCTTCAACTTTGTATTTTTATGATTTTTAAGGCATCTGTGCTGTAAACTGCGTGCAATTCACTATAAAAGCTTTTATTACCTTTCAGTTCTCATGGTCACCACTTCAAGAATAGTTACTGCAGCAGCATTTATCCTCGCACGGGATTCCATTATCAAAGTACTCCACAAACACATCTGTAAGGAGTCTCTACCTCTAAGAAACGTCCACATATTCAACCCATCCTTCCTGCTGAGATAACCTCCTACTCCACTGTTTTCTGGCCAATTTTACTTATCTCCAATTATTCAAATGCTGCACTTTTTGCATGTTTTGCAAAACCCCTTCCTGAATTAATCAACAGAGAATCTAAATATTTCAACTCTGTGAAGCGGCCTCTGGTGTTACCAGGGAAATCACATGGGCAACAGTGGGTTGGCAAGCTATGTTTGATGTTTCACCTCCTTGTGCCAGTTAATGCATGCGCATAATTGCTCAAGAGCCGTCTGCTTGCAACCTAAGATGTGTTGCTCCTTGATAATGAAAGCACTGATTTGGTCCCACGCATGAACTAGAAGTGTTTAATGTGAGTCTGCCTGTGGGACTCTGATAGAAAAAAAAGAGCAGTGCCCGGTCAAAACCTTTTAAGAAATGTGCATGTAATAATAATCTCTCCAAATTGAATGAAAACCTAATTGGAAGATGCCTGATTTTTTGGGGCCCTGAAAAGTTTAATGTTTGCTATGAGCATGAAGTGGCAGCATTAAGCTTTCTCTCCATTCAACATACACCACTAGGGCTTTCCTGGCACCGGCAAAACAACAGGGGGCAGCTGGACCCAGAGATGGCTGCAGCTCCAGCCAATTTCTGTGGCCCTACATGGGAAAACATCCTTGACCCCCCCAACAATGAGTGGTGTCTGAGACATCTTTAGCTTGCTGTAAAAGTGAGGGTAGGCAGAAAATCACCATTGAGCTTTCTGACCTCCAGCAATGCTGAGCAATACAGTAGAATTAGATTTTCTAACAAAGAAGCTCTTCTAGGCTCAGTTATGTTACTTTTTTGTGTGTGTTCCTTCCCAGGCTTGAATATACATGCTCTGGAAAGTGGTGAATGGGCATTTATCAATACATTTGATTGCAACCACTGCCTGAAGATGGAGGTCCTTTAGCAAGAGTCCCAAGAACTGTGAGTATTGTGGAGGACTTGATCTTTGCAGAACAACTGAATAATAAGCTGAGATTGTTCAGGGAGGAATGAATACTGAGGAAGGATGTGGTAACAATATTCAAATGAACACAGGAATTACAGATATTAACACTTTTCTTCCCATCCACTGGAAGTACAAAAACTAACATGATAAAACTATAGCAAGTGAGCTTTACTTTAAAGCAGGAAAAAATCTTCAGTAATCAGAGAGTGACTGTCAGGGATCTGTTGTCTGAAGCTGTGGTCAAATGCCCATAAAGAGGGGGTGTCTAGGAGCAGGCTGAATATATACCTGCAAGGATGAGCTTGGGTTTAGTCAGTGCAGTGATGGGGCAGGGAGACAAGACAGCGATCTCTGAGACCTGTCCAGCCCCTGCATAGTTCTCTGTATCCTGGGTGAAGACTTTTTCTCTCATGCATCTATACCACCATCTGTGCGTATCTTCTCATTCAACTGAGCCATGTCCTTAGCAGCTCTTCCTGATGGTCTGTGTTTGAGATGAGAAAATGGTGAGGCATTATATATTTGCAGTTTTAAAATAAATTTTTTAAAAATTTGCTTGCTTACCTGATGTCTTCCGTTTTAAACATGGATTATTGTAATTCCTAATGGGAGCAAAATTGATAACGGAGGTGACCAGAAGCTTGTTATTAATTTGCAGCTCTTATCTTTGGGAAATCAACATTCTGGCAAAGGATTTAATTGGGCTTTTTTGTTAATTCTCACAGTGATGCTCTGGTTTTTCCTTTTGGGACTGCAGAGAAAAAACAGCATCTGGTGTTTGAGGATGCTGGAGATTTACACCATATTATGTGTAATATCTCTACTGTAAATAAACAAAATGAATAATTAAATGAATAACGAGGTGTCCTGAATTACAACTTCTCTGCCTGCATCTATGGAAAATCAAAGGTATGTTTGTTCTTCGTAGTTTGTGCTTTGGTGGGCATCTTGGTCTTGTCATAGCCCATATGGATATCAGCAATATATCTTTTCAAGCAGAAGCCTGAAATAATATTGATAAAGGCTGCTTGGTAAAATGGAGGAATTTTTGCTCTTCAATGTAGCGTCTGTCTGTGTTACTGTAAAACAGAAGAATATTAGAAACTGCGTCATAGCCCTGCGGGCCTTACTGCTTCTGCCCAGCCTCTCCTGAGCTGCTCGCAGCCCAACACCCCGCATCAGCCCGGGGCCAATGGCTGCTGCCTCAGTGAGGCACCAGCAGAGCTGGGCTCCAGCTCCCCACAGCCCAGCCCTGTCAGCCACAGGCCCTGCCAAACCAGGCCTAACCGTGGCCATGTCTTGGCCTGGCCCCTGTCTCTTGGCTCCTGTCTCAATGCAGAAAGCCTTCGTGGTCCGCAGGGAGCTGCTGGCCCACACTGCCTTGTTGGATTGGGTGGTTATGGTTTTTTGTTTTCTTTTTTCTTTTTGAGTATAAAAAAACACATATGATTATGTTGGAGGTGTTGTAGAGTCTGTCCTGATACAGATACTGGTGACATATTGGAGGTAGGTGCCACCGTCCATGCTTAATGAGAAGGCCAGCACTCAAACAGAAGTCACCATGATGGGGGAGGAGGAGCCCCCTCCTCTGGATGGCTGTTGCATTGGCTTTATGAAGACTGCAGTAGGCAAGGTGCTCCAGGAACACATTCTGTCCCCCAACTGTCCTTCTGTGACAGCTGACACTGGGGCCACTTGAAGCTGTGGCTGGAATTAATATCATCTCAATGCCAGATTTCCACCTTGAGCACAGCTGCATATAAGTAGAAGGCAAAGTGATTTTTATGTGTATGTGATATGATAATTAAACTTAGCACTTTCTCCACATTTGCTATTCAACACTGTAAAAGGAAGCTAAATGAATTGCCAAGGAGATGTAGTGAAAATTAATGATGGGGATAGGACTCAGAAGGGCTGTTGACATCTGGGCTCAATGTTCTGCAGAATATCTAGTCATTGGTTAAAATCTGGTAATCACCTTAGGTGAGCATCCTTGGCTTTCTTCTGACAACCCCCCTGGCACGTAGCTGCATTTTTGTGCCTTTCCTTCCAGGCCGGTCCTCTGCAGGATCACTAAGATTTGATGCAATGACAGTTCTTTATTTTAAAAAGGGGCTTTCTGATGTCTGCTGTAGAACACCATCTTATAGATCAACTTATATTACCAGAAACATGGCAAGAAATCCTTAGACATCACAACTACACAAAACATGGTTTGTCCAATGTTAAACCAGCAGCAAAGGACAAACTATTTTTAGAGCTGTCATGTTATTGCACCTGAGCTTTATTTGTCTTCTGATTAAAAGAGGTTTTCCTTCAGAAAAGTTCACTTGAATCTTATACTCATTTACTAAGTCTTACGTTCCAATTCAATTTATTTTAAAGCAGATTCTTTGGGGAAAATTATAAAGCTAATTTGAATTGATTCTTTGGAGATTCAGGTTTAAATGAAGTGCCATAAAATTGGCAGTCAAAGGGAAAAAATAGAATTGAATGTTATACTTGTATTACTCCATGGACACAAGCGCCTTGCTTTTTGCTACTACTGAAGGTTTTGATGTCGTGTATTTCAGACCGTGTATAAACACATAAGAATTAAAGTTCACACTGTTTTCCTCATTCATGTATATTACATCAAATTACAAACTTTCGGCTGCCAAGATCACAGTTAGTCATTCACTGTTTCCATTTTTTCATAATAAATTCTATAGACTCTTAATGGCATTAATGCTAATTTTGCGGAAGTGAAACAAAGTCCTTTATTTGTTACGTGTTGAGAGGATGGTACATCAGAGTAATGCTCCTCAATATCATCGTTCTCCATTTCCAAATCTACAGGGTAGCATTTGGTAAAAATACTGAGCTGTTTTGGGAGTTGAGCAGATTAGAAAATGGCTGTAGTTTGGGTGACAAATGTGTGGCTTTTTCTGAAGCCAGTGTCTTTTTGAGGCCTTATGATCTTGTATTACCAAGCACCTGGTTTCTCACTAACAAATGAGTCAAAATTTGTTCTTACAGGCTTTCTGGAAACAGGTTAAATCTGATTTCTTGTTTTGTTTTTGTTTTCCATAGAGCCTGTAGATACGCCTTAAAAATAGGGCTTTTTTCTGTTACTGTTTGATGCATTCATAGCTTGGGAAATTCACAGAAATAATGGCCAAGGAGCTGGTTGTTCAGTTTCCTCTCACAAAAAATAGTGGGTGGATGTTCATTACTCTATCCCAGCACTGTGCTTCCAATCTAATCAGAAGCAGAAGTGAGGATATGAAAAGATGTGCTAGAGAAAGCTCCAGTGCACTCCATTATGCATTCTGCACACATGGTCCTGTATTAGAAATGGCTGGTATTTTGTTTGAGTAAATATATTAGGAGATATTTAAATTAAAATATATGTTGCTTTCTTCCAATTTTCTTAATGTGAAAAGAGTTTTACTGAAAGAAGCCTTCAGGCCCACAACTGGTTTTTTATATGCTCAGCTTCTAAGGAGCTATTAGTCAGAGTGGAGATACTTGTTTGCTCTGGTCCCATTGTAAGTGTTGGATACCTGAAATCAGACACCAGTGATGGTATTTAAATGTGGAAGTGAGAATCCCCCAATCTTTCACACATGCTAAGCTGCTACAGCCCTCGGTGATCTCAGTGGGAGCTGTGGCTGCTCAGCACTTTGAAAGTCAGCCTGTTAGAAGGGAGGTGTTTAGAGGAGGAGATAGATGCTGGGTTGCCTTGATAGTGCTTCAACACACTGCAGAACCAGATGGAGGTGAGACGGTGTAATTTTGCTCTCGTTTGCAGCACTGCTAAGCTGATGGAAATCTATGGGTCACTCCTCCTGCCCATCCCTGGCATTCTGAGAGTAGTTTGGCACCTGCTCTTCACACATTTCTACTATGCCCTTTGTACCTAAAAACACTAAGCAGCATTTGCCAATGTGCTGCCAGCTACAAGCATATGCAAGCTGCTGGCCTCTGGGCAGAGTGGCACGTGGTGCTTTACCTCATTTGTGGGGCGGAATTCTATCAGACTGAATTGATTCTGGATCCCTGAAATCCTTCTCCATCTGTTGTGATTACAAAGAGAATAGTGCTTTGCTGTGTGTGACAAAGAAGACAGAGACCCTTGTCCTGGTTTTATATCAACGAATGGAAACCTGATATTCCCCTTTGCTAAAAGTGGAATTGTTCCTGAATGCCACGTGCATTAAGAATGTAACAAAGTGAAGAAGAAAAAGATAACAGAAGTGCATTTATACAGTTGTCTCTGTTTTACATTTCTGCTTTTCTTCACCAAAGCCCAACTCTCATCTTCTTGCAAGAGGAGTGAGTGCTTACCCATGAAGGCTGGCAGCTTTAGTTGTTGGTCAGTTGTCAGTATCAACGTGCTTGATACCTGCTTGCCTGGTGAAGCTGTAAGGGATGCTAAGAAGTCCAGCATGTTTTGGAGGATTATTAAGTCGTATGGCCAAATTTTTTGCTCTAAGGAGCAACTTGATTACTATTAAGGGCTATAGAAGTATACAAATAGAAGGTATTTCATATTTATTAGAAACAAGCTGTATTACAGCAGGAACTCATTTTAAGCAATATAAATAAATAGAGATTTAAATGTTTTATTCATAATATATATTTTTAAATTTCAGTGAAGTGTTCCTTGTGCTTAACTGTGCCTGAACCTCTTCCCTGATCTGAGTGCTGTCCCTCCAACAGTGGCTCTTGTGTCTCACTTGTCGCAGCATGAAAACTCATGGTTTTCTCAGTTTCTGTCTTCTGAATATTATTTTAAATAGACCCAACTATTATACCTATTATACCTACTTGGGTATTTGTTTGATCTTGTCACCAGCGCTGTTTATTAGCTGATGGAACCAAGCCCTAGGCAATATGAGCTCAAACAACAAAGGAGCTCACATACCTATTTAGCCTCACCCAATCCTGTACTTTACTACAAATTAAAATAGATAGGTTTCCTTTGTGATTTAAGCAGCAGGTGCAATTCACATTCTTTTAGCCAGAATAATCATTTTCTTTAGAAAACTTTTTAAAAATATTCTTGTAAGAGGTTCAGACTTTTTTGTTCTCATCTCTTTTAGGAACACATGAAGGAGATTCAGACACAGCAGTTAAAAAAAGGAAGAAGCTCAGGAGAAACAGGTAAACAGGAAATAGAAAAAAAATAAATCTAACAAGCCTTTTCTGAAGAAGCAGAGCAAGTACATAATGTTTATTTCAAGCTACCTATGGAAATTGTAACATAAATAAAAACATTTTTAAGCTACCCATAAGCACTTACTTCCATGTACGCTGCACAGGTATTGTACGAGGCAGTAGGTGTTTTAGAGATACCAATAGACAGACAGGCTTTTGATGACAAATTGTGTTGTATGCAAGCCAAGAAACAGCACAGAGAGCATTGCCCTTGATTGAGAACTGGGCTTACACCTCTGGGACAGAGCAGAGGAGAAGCAGAACATGCTTCACAAGAAAGTTTCCAGATAGGTTTTTTAATATCTCCAGAGAAGGAGACACCACAGCCACCCAGGGCAGCCCAGTTCCCGTGCTCTGTCACCCTCAAAGTGAGGTAGAATTTCCTCATGTATACATGGAACATCTCCTATGTTCCAGTTGGTGCCCATTGCCCCTTGTCCTGTTGTTGGGCCCCACTGGAAAGAGCCCCATCCATTTGACACCCACACTTCAGATATTCATAAACCTTGTAAGATCCGCTCTGTCTTCTCTCCTCCAGGAGATGCCATTCCCCTTAAGTTGCCTGGCCCTTGCACCACGTAATTGAGGGCAGAAGTGGACCACGTTCTCCTTCTGCTTGTGGTATGTCATGTGTAAACTCATGCATAAGCAAGGGATTATCTATAATGATTCACTGTGCATTTATCTTTTGATAAAAAATGTTGTGTTACTTTCTTCAGCTCTCATTCCTTTCCACTCCTCAGTCATGCTCACAATGTCTCTCACTGGCATGTGCTGAAAAGAGTCGTTAGCACACACTGAAGGGTATCAAACGGTATGTTTGCAGCTGTCATTTCACTGGATTCTCTTTGGCTGTTCCCCCCCTTCAGGCTAATTGTGTCTGTTGTCACTAGGCAGTTAGAGGACGATGCAGCAGGGGCCCAATGAAAGAATCTCCTCATCAGACTGTACGTAGTGGTAGGAAACCTGTGGGAAATCAATGCTAAGGACATGAAAAGAGCAAATAAGCACAGAGAAAGAGCAGAACTTTGTTCGCAGCTGAGTGATGTTTGATAACTCTAACGGAATTTGGCTTTTTGATGAAGCTAATGCTTCTTTCAATTCAATTTCATTTAAAAAAATCTACAAATTCAAAATGATCTGACTGTGTCCCCCGGCCTGCCTCTGGCACGGCAAATGTGGCTACAAGCAACTCCACGTGGGCACAGCACTGCGGCCCACAGGTGGGGATGCCTGAGGCATTTCCTCAGATTCCCACTCAAGTGGCCAGGAGGTCCTTCCGAATGAGAGAAATGCAGTGCCTGTGATCAGACTGTGCTCCTGACAGCATGGGGACATTCTGCGAGAGATTCCCTGCAACTAAAGAAAGGCCTGTCAGAAATACAGCCACAGCACACACCGTGTGTCACAGCTGGGAGCGAGTGGGATGCCGGACGCCCTTCAGCCAGTCCTCCTCCTCCACCTCTGTTTCCTCTCAGATGTTTACGGCAGAGACAAGGGTGAGTGTAAATAACCACCTGCCCCAAGGAATGTGTATGGGATGTTACACTCAAGGAGTAAAAATGCATATAGATGCCGGCTACAGGCATACACAGATGCAGGCATACACATTAGGAAATCTGGTGTGAAGTTTTACTGTGTCAGTAGTTAAGCACATGAATATTTCATGGAGAATTGTTAGGTAAATATGCAAGAGGTTTTTGTTTGGATACAAATTTGCCTTTACTCAGGCACTGAATTCTGTGGACAAGAGGTTCAATATATAATGCAGAGTATATGTAACCACATGAACTGGTGCTTCTTGGAGAGTGGGCATTTCTTTAAAATATGTCCGTAGTCTAATGTAGCTTAAATGAAGTCAGAGGCACACAGGATGTGCTGCAGGTAGGAGAGCGATAACACGAGTGTGGCTCTGCATAACACATGCATTTTTTATATTATACTCCTCAGCTCTTCAGATTGTCTGCAAGAGGATTTCGGTGCAATCAGTCACAGCTCTTAAAGGAGTGCAGAAATTTGTTAACATTGAAAATCCCCCTTAAGATAGCATTCTGTACCTCTCCTCCTTCGCTTCTCTCCCTTGCCTGACAGAATGAGAGCGTGTGTCAGGGAAGGGTCCTGTGGGGAGCAGCTTTGGCGTGAGGCTGGCAGGCACAGATGGCCAGCAAGCTGCAGCCCCAGTCCTCCTTGGCTGCTCGACCACACCGGATCCTTTGGCGAGTCCTCAGCAGCCAGCGAGAGCGTGTTTACTCCAAATCCTGGCTTCCTTGCTTTCCTCAGGCTGACTAAAGACACACTGCCATCCCTCTCAAGCAAACCCTCCACTGTGCACTCCAGGCTTGCAGCCTTGTGGTCACTGTCATGGCTTTCCTCCTCATCCTTCTCTCTGAACAGGCCTGACCCCTTGTGCCCTCTCCCCACTTCCAGGTGCTGTCCCTCTACAAAGCATGGCTCTCCAGGCTGATATCCTGGGACTCCAGTTGTGACCGTGCCTGCTCCTTAACTAGGGCAATAGAGGAGTTTCTGGGCAGACTGCCTTCCCACTGCCTGCAGAGAGAGCTGCTCAGGTGGACATTGTGGAGTGCAGTGTGGCTCCTATTCAACTCGTGACAGCTCTGTGCACATACATGTAGACTGTGGCTAATACTGTGGTTGCTTGGACTACTTCATTGCATTTCTTTCTTTCCTTATGGCTTTTTTTACCTCCTCTCTCTGCTTTGCACTTCTCTTCCCACCACAGTTCCCTTGCCCATGCTAGAAAAAGGAGGAATCCATGACAGTGGTACCAGAATGTCTTGTGAATGTGACACAGTGCTAGATGGCTCAGATAGCACAATTATGTTGAAGAGAGTGGAACTGAGCCTTTTTATTCCACAGCTGAGATCCTGACTTATATTTTCAAAAGATTAATTCTTTTCAGGTTTACAGAAGTCAGCCAATGTCTACTCCTTGCTGTTGCTTTTTCTTGTCAAAGCACATTTCTGTGCTTACAACAATCTTTTTACTGGGAACAGTGAAGGAGTTTTATAAGAATAATGCTCTTGTCTCTGATGCTCAATCAATCTAATTTTCAGCCGCTTCAAAGTTTGCCAAGCTCCAGAGCTTAAAAATACACACTTCAGCTTCTCACAGCATGTGCGAGATGCTCCCTGAATTTCTGGGCAGTCAGAGCTTGTGCTGTCCTCAGGCAATGTCAATTTGTCCATTACTGCAATGAGCCCATATTGCTTTCTGTAGTTTGATTCAGTTCCAGTGGCAAATTACAACATTTAGACGCTACTGAGAAAATATAGGTGGGAATGTTAAGTTCCTCCAGTGCATCTCAGCCCAGCTCCTCCCCTTAGAACTCACAGCGCTTGTGCTCCAGCTCAGTCAGTAACTACAGCTGCACGTAACACTTCGTTATACTTCTGCTATGGGATGTTAGGAGAGCCTGGCAGGCATCCTTATTTCTGAAGTGACTGCAAACTGCTCTTCCAAAAAGCCATGTGGGCAGTCTCACCCGCAAACATGCAGAGGGAAGTATGTTTGCTTCATATGGTGAAGTACTTACCTCTGCTATGTTGTTTATTTGGTTATGTTTCTGACACTGACAAGGTAGGCCTTTGTGGTTCTTGGCCAAAGCACCTCAAACAGTGAATCTGTTGCACAAACTCAATGTAACCTATGAACTCACCTGAGTGCTCTGTGACACAGCACCCATCGGACCAGTGCCAGTGCACGCTGCTGCCATGTGGCCATTCCTCATGCATGCCGCTTCCTTCCAAGGTCGTACCATGTGGTACTGAATTTCAACAAATGATTTTTCTAATTTAGAGGCTTCTCTGTATTTTTATGCAATGAGGTATAATCACATTGGTTAACATATCATAACAGCTTTTATTCTCTGTTTCTTAGCACAGCACAGTTTGGAAAACTGAGATGGTATCATGATCCCCGTTTACTTCACCACAGTGTTTCCTTTTTACATGTTGGCATTTAGTAACACTGCTCTTTTGTTTCAATTGGTTTCCTGTCAATGCTAATTTCTGGCTTATATGTTTCCATACAATAATATTTCAGTGCTCAGTTAGAATATACTGTCAGGACATACTTATTTGTATTTAAACACATTTCAGTGGGAAGAATTAAAACAGAAAAGCTCTGCAAACTTGCCTGTTGATTTGTGATTCTGTAAAACATCTACCTCAATTGTATGCCAGATTTGTTCCTTCAGCATTGCTTTTACAAGAACAAGAGAGAGTACGACTCAATGCGCATTAGAGAAACACCTGATATATTCTCTTATTACTCAAATGATGTTTCAAGCATAAAACAGAAGGTGAAGCCTGAGTGAACATCTTGCAAGGCACAAAAAGAGAGAACCTCTCCTTTTATTTAAAATGCTCATATGTGTTGAGATGCAATGAAAGTCCTAGATAATCTCTGTTTGTGAAAATCAGACCAAAGCAGTTCAGCCTAGATACCTGGATGGGGATTTGGTACTCAGATAGAATCATAGAATTGCATAGGTTGTAAAAGACCTTAAAGATTACCGAGTCCAACCACAACCTAACCATACTACTCTAACCCTAACAACCTTCTGCTAAATCATCTCCCTGAGCACCACATCCAAATGGTTTTTAAACACATCCAGAGATGGTGGCTCAACACTTCCCTGGGGAGCCTGTTCCAGTGCTTGACAACCCTTCCTATAAGGAAGTTTTTCTTGATGCAGTCAGGCATCTTTTGAAGCTCATCACTATAGCAGGGAAGTTCATCCCATGCACCAGAAGATGCTGTGGAGTAGCAGCCCTACCTCATGACTTGCTGTGCTGCACCTTTTCTCTCCCTTCTTCCTGTGCCACTTTCCCTCGGGGTTAAGACTTGGTGCTCTCAGTGCATTTCATCCCTTGGCCAGCAGCACTGTGAGTTGTATGTCATCGGCAGTGGAGGGACAGGGAGTGAAGCCATACAGAAAGGTACAGATTCCCCAAGGCATGGTCTGACAGAAGTGATACTAAGCACACGGTGTCTGGACACAGACACACAGTCACACAGTCTGGACATTGCAGAACCCATACCTGCTCTTTTAGGGCTGAACAAAAGAAACAGCCCTTGACAGAAGCCAAAGCAAACATACTCCTATCCCAGTATCACCTATGTGTGAAGTAGCTTCCCTCTTTACCTAGTTCCTTGGCAAAACATGATTTTATCTGCTCCAATGTGGTCAAAAATACTATGTATAAGTAAATACAAGCCTGAAGGCTCCATGATGACAGCACCACTTGCCTTCGTGTGTCTTCAGGTACTGCCCTGTGGATGAAGACCAGCAGTTCAGCTCCCCTCACCATGTGCTGGTGCTTCTGAAGTGCTTCCATCTTGGGTGATTTTCTAAGTAATAGGTTTTTAGTGACCATGGTATGCTTCTGCCAAACAATATAAATCAAATTTTGCATATCTAATACCAACCTATACAATCATGCATTGAACTGTTGCCATTCAGCTCTTCCTTTTGTTTCCATATCTCTAGAAATATCCTGAGTCAAGATGCCAGCCCCTCCTGTGCCCCATGCTCCAGATGCTGGTCTGCTGAATGATGGCTGTATCTGCCCTGAGGACATTGTGAGCCTCACTCCCAGGTATAAGCTGGTGATATTGTACCTCCTCCTTTATGTATTTCTATCTGTGGAAAGAAAACCAGGGAAGTAGGAGGCTAGATGGGGTGGTGGTGTTCAGGGTGGGTCCACCAGATCCCTGAACAACAACGCAAGGGTCAGATGTCAGGGCTCACTGTGAAGCACTCGTACCACAAAGCAGAGGTTCCCTAGGCACTGAAGTGACCTTAGGAGCCAACTTTTGTAAACAGTTTTTTGCTTGAATAACTAGTGAGCTTCTCACATCATTACTGCACTTCATGCAGTGACAGAAAAAGAACTTGGTAGAAGTTCTCGCCTCTCGTGGAGGAGCTCTGGGCATTCCTCTTCCTGAATCCTCTTCTAACCCTCTTTTTCCTTCCGTGAACTTTCCTCCTGGTTTAAACTATCTATTGAAAATAGAGAAGTTATTTGTGTGATGTTATTCTTTGCTACTTCTTCCCATAAAGAACCTAGTCCTGGCAAAGTTCAGTGTGGAAGGAGCACTGGGCTGCAGCCATGGCCTGGGAGCTGCACCCACACAGCTTGCACAGATTGGTACACTTTGATCTTATTGTCTGCGCTCAAGATACTCAGATCTGGAAAATAACCACTGAGCATACAAAGTAGGTCACTTCATTAATGCAGTGGTGAGCACCTGCTAACTGCAGTAAAAGAGATCTTCATATATTACTACTGAACCTGGCAGCAATTAATAGACCAAATGACTGATCTTCAGAAGTGCAAACAGACAAACGGTCTCTCTGGCTGCCTTTATACTTTCTAATCAGCTTGCTGTAGAGGCATAATTTTTGCACATACCCACTTGCATTCAACCTTTCTGCACTTTTGGTGGTTCGTTGCAGTATGTTTGGAAGTAGCTAAACTTGTGCTGGTATGAAAAGGCTGGCCAGCAAGTCCTAGGAATAACACAGATGTCAGCAGCACCCAGCTGGCTTGACCCAGCTCATCCATACCTTCCGAATATGCCTTTAGAGGTAGAGACACCTGCCTGTATGGAGGTATTAAATGGTGCTAAAGAGAGGCTTGAAATTGGCCTTACTGAGGAGAATGGCTTTGGAATGGTGTCCTGGTTGGGCACCTCTGTATGTCAGGATACCTGCTGGATAGAAAAGCTTGTCTTCAGGGTGGAATGGCAACATGGACAGGGCTGCTGCTAAAGGCTGTGCTGAAGGTCCAGGACATGATATGTGCTACCTGCTTACTGAAAGAAGAGGTATGTGAGGTGGGGACCAGCCTACTGAAATGCTGCTTAGAGCTTCTGCGAGCTCGGACCCTGTGATCCAGAAAGACCAAATCTGAATTTTGATGACTTTTGTAGCTTGGGGAGATGTAACCTGTAGTCTTTCTATGTGGAGCTGCTTGCAATCCTATTCTGATAAACTTGGTTTCTAATAACAGAGTAATTTTAAGGCTGTTATAGTAAATATAAGCAGTGATGATCTTCCAGGTGACACTTATGTAATGATTGCACTTTAAAAATAATGTATGGATTAGAAAGAACATATTAGTTCAAACACTTTGGAGTCATCTGAGACTCAGTATCATGATACTTTTGAAATAACAAGGGCTGTCAGTGATGTTCTGGCAAACCTTTCCTTCCCTGATCCTGGTTTCATAGCTCAGCTGTATCTCAGCTGTCATGATTGTAGCCTATGCAAAGAGGCTAATCAATAGCCAGGGGAAACAGACTGAAAGGTCTCTGGAACAGCCTGTAATGCTACTAATCTCTTAGAATAAGGACCCAATTTTGAAGATGTATACAGCTGGAACAACTGTTTGCTCCAGCAAGTTACTCTGCATTTCCATCATTTGAATGATTCCCCTTATATTCACGGGTGCTTCACCAGGCAACACTGCTGTGCTTTATAAATAAGAGCGCATAACAGACAGTGATTTTATCCTCATGCTCTCTTATGAGGACTTTATTTTCTATTAAGTTCAAAGCAGTTCTGGATAGGTAAAAGCTTTGTGCTTCAGATTCATTTTTTCTTTATGCCACTGAAATTTTTCATCCATATCAAGTCATTGTCCCTCTCTGATTCTTCCCAGCCATCTCCTCTAGCTGCTCCTTTGTACTTCAGTCGACGTGAGCTTCATCAGCTCAAGCATGTTAGGAATTAACCTGAGAGCAAGTATGCTATGAAAATTTCCATTATTTCCTGAGAGAAGCATCCATCAGAAAAAAAAAAAAAAAGAAAAAGGAGAGAGGAAGGAATCAAGTGTATACTGGGTAAAACAGGGAAACAGACAAGTGTGAGAGTGTGAGGGGAAGATTTGTTAAACTTGCATTCCACTCAGTGGAAAGAGAATGCTGCCAAGACAAGCTGTATCTGAAATCAGCATACAGTGCTTTGGGATGGTGATTGTCAGTCTGCTATTTCCCATTTTGTTTAATTTTTAATCCAAATTGTGTACTAAAAATAGGGACCATTTCGGAGCTGAAAAGATGGGAGTAGCAGAAGGAGGGGAAAGCAGAATGTGCAGGAGGAATGCTGCTGTAGCTGAAGCAGCCCCTTTGGGATTTCTAGCTCTGTAACTCAGTTGGTTGTGGTTACAGAACGAAGACTTACCTTATCTGGGCCATTGCGGCTGGGAGGCACTGTGGTAGTCCCTCTGTAAAATAAATGATAAGTCATAGCCTGTGAACAGAGAGGGATGGTTACATTCCTATTTGGACAACAGTAACTGGAATGAGTTATGGAATATGGGCAAGAATTCACACGTCCTGTTCCTACCTAAGTAATGTTTCTATAGCTTCTGCCATTCCTTTTTTGCTTTTCATGTGTCTGAAGAGATTTGTACTGCTAATTATTAATAGCAGGAAGTTTTTACAGAAGTGCTGGAGTCTCCTGTTTTCAGTTAGCATTGCTTCAGCATGGCTAGTTTGTCCAGGATGGGAAAGCCAAGAGATGTCTATCTGGATAAGACTGTGAAATCTTTGTTTATGCATTAGTCTCCTCTCCAGAGAAGACTGTGGAATATCTTGCCTGAAGTCCCAATTCAGCATCTGTTCTGAAGAGGCCCCCTTAAAAGCTGGAGCAATCTCCTCTAGGCTAAGCAAGAAAAACAGCTGGAGGGGGGAAAAAGAAAAAGCAGAAAAAACCTTATATCATCTGTGAACAGATGTGTCTCCAAAGTCCTCCAGCATGAGTGTATGCATGTGGTGCAGGAAGTACTGATTTCAGCAGCCTTTGGAGTTTCTGCTGCCTCCTCTGACTTCCATGCATTATGTTGAGACTGTTACTTTTGGCTTTCCTCAGAGCAGCAGATTCTGGATGACAACAATGCAAAACAGGAAACTTTCAGAAATTCAGATTTGTTTTGGGTCCAGGACCCACAATTTAGTGATCTGCATCATAATCTCAAATTCTTGCCTAATTTTTGTGGACCTTTACTTAAAGGAGTGTGGGAACCGTTAAGTCAGAGCCTGAACCACTGATTGAGCACCTGGGGAAAGGACCTGGTCAGCCCTGGCAGCACAGGTGAAGGCAATTCAGCTGTGTGACCAGAGCCTGGCTGCACCTCTCTTAGACCTCACTTAAAGGCTGACAGCCACTGGGAAAGGATCCCTTCTTGGAGATCCTTGGTGAGGCTTTCCCCTGTGAACCTCTAATCCTGTGATACGGGTGAGCAATCATCTTGCCTTGCATTATAGCACCTCTCTACTGTGCCAGTCCTTCGGTTACTGCACCTTTGTTGTAATGCCTTTCCCATTGTATTGATCTGTCCAATTGCTACAAAAGGCTAAAATGCATTTAAATTATATCACTTCAAATTATTATTATTTTTTTTAAAATTGCTAAGTCCCCCCTCCTTTCCAGAGGATGGGAGATGTGAAGCTTACTTAAGTTTCTCCAACTGTGCCCAGATAGAAGAATCATAATACCTTGATAAGCCAGCTTCTTCCTTAGAAAATGCTGGCTCACTTAAATAGATCACAAGGTATTTTAAAATCACATTCCATGTGTTTTGTTTTCTGCCACTTTTAAGGCTAATAATCAATTTTTGCTGAGAGTAACCAGGGAAAGCAAAAGTGTTTTAAGTGCCTAAGTCACTGGACCACAGCTTTCTGATTTATGATGACAGTGATAGAAACTGGCTACTAAGAGGCTCCCAGGTACACCACCTGATGTCTGCTTTCAGATCCTGTTTAACTTTTTAAAAATCTAGCCCCATAAATGTTAGACCTGAGTGGAGTACTCGAAAGCCCTCTGTTGTACTGTCAGTTGAGGAATTGGTTTTTTTCTTGCAGAGTGCTTAGAAAAGTGGGTTGTTGTTTTATATATATATATATATATATATATATATATATTTTCCTTCCCTAAAGTGACAATAATTTTGGAATTACAATCAGCTGTAAGCACCCAGGGCTCAATAAGGATGCTTTCTTTCTGAGAGGAAGGGATCGAATCCAGCTGAGCACTGAGCCAGGCAGGAGCTCTAGAAGGCAGTGGACTGTGTCCAGCCCTGGTGTGATGGACTGCTGGTGCCTGAGCTACAGCGTGCACTACAAACCTGATGTGATTATGCCCTTATCGTGTTCTGAAATTCATATATGTCTTTATAGCTGAATTGGTTCCCAAACATGACAGTCTCTCTTGTCTTTTGTCGCTGCTGGGTAAAAGACATCGGGGACAATTGAAAGCAAATTACTGGTGTGGCTGAAACTGAGCAGTCAGCCACAAACTGAGCTTAAAGCTGTTCCAGCTGTAACCTGCTTCCCAGAAGCTGCTCTGCAGAGGTGTGTGTTTGGACCATACTGCGTGTTGTCTGTGTGAAAGAGTTCAGCAGGGCTATGTGTGCTCTGTCTGTTCTCCTTGCCATCCCTGCAGCTTGACTTCTGCAGGTGAGTGCTGGAAATTTTAAACCTTCCAGGGCTCAGCCCTTGTAAATGAGAGGAAGTTAAAAGAAGACGACCCTTGCATCTTCCACTGAAAGAATTCCCAATCAGGTCTGAAATTCACTACAAGCGGTGGAAAATT